TTTGTTCAACCTCCTACAACTGACCTCAGCCCATTGCTCCAGCCTGGCCAGATCCCTCTGCAGAGCCTTCCTGCCCTCCAGCAGATCCACACTCCCACTGACTTTGGTGTCACCTGCAGATTTCCTGAGGCTGCATCCCATCCCCTCCTCCCCTTGCGTCCCCCTTACACCGCTGTGTCCGTCTCCAGCTGACTGTCCCCTCTGGTTCCTTGTGCCCCTTCCTCCAGGCGATCCTCAACAACATGCGGGTGGAGTGCAAGTGCCACGGCGTGTCGGGCTCGTGTGAGTTCAAGACGTGCTGGAAAGCCATGCCCCCCTTCCGCAAAGTGGGCAACGTCCTCAAGGAGAAATTCGACGGCGCCACGGAGGTCGAGCAGAGCGAGATCGGATCCACCAAAGTGCTGGTGCCCAAGAACTCCCAGTTCAAGCCGCACACGGACGAGGACCTCGTCTACCTGGACTCCAGTCCCGATTTCTGTGACCACGACCTCAAGAACGGGGTGCTGGGCACCAGCGGCCGGCAGTGCAACAAGACCTCCAAGGCCATCGACGGCTGCGAGCTGATGTGCTGCGGCCGGGGCTTTCACACGGACGAGGTGGAGGTTGTGGAAAGGTGCAGCTGCAAATTCCACTGGTGCTGCTCCGTCAAGTGCAAACCCTGCCATCGGGTGGTGGAGATCCACACGTGCCGGTGATGCCCGGAGGGGAGCACCCGTCCCTCGCCCTCTCTAACTGACCCTGCTTCTCCCTTGCCCCACAGCCAGGACTGAGGAAGGAACCCAGACGCTGCAGGGAGAGCGCAGCTCTTTACAGAGACAGAGCCCCAGAGGAAAACAGATTTTAAAAGAAAAAAGAAATATTTAAAGTTGAAAAAAAAAAAAAAAAAAAGATCATTGTTGACTTTTTGTTTTGTTTGTTTGCTTTATTTATTGCTGCAGCCAGAGCCCCTCACTGGCCCGTGCCTGCTCTGGGCAGCTGGCTGCGTGGTGCCTGCTGCCCTCGGATGAGCTCTGGCTGCTCAGGAGGTGGTTAAGCCCAGGCTGGCACTGGGTGCTCAGTGTCCCCTGTCACGGTTCCTTTTCTTTGTGGAAGGCGTGTGCTGAGCATCCCCGAGCACTGCTTGCCTTGGCTGAGCCTCGGGAGGGGATGGAGTGCAGCCAGGGTGAGCAGCCAGGTGCGTGGCAGAGGACGGGCACCCAGTGACGTGGTGGCACTGTCCCCGAGAGCTGGGCTCAGGGCAGGGAGAACCCAGCCAGGGTGAGCAGTACAGGAGGGGGACGTGGGACACTCCTGCCCCGAGGCCCCTCGATGGCCTCCTGGGCGGTGGATGGATTTTGGAGCAGCTCCAGTGGCCACTCTGATTTACAGAAGCTCCTCGGCGGCTGCCCAGGGCTGCTGGAGGACGCAATGTTCCCACCATGCTCCTCTTCCCCTTGCAAGGCCCCTTCCCCCCTCACTCCTCCAGCATCTTGTTCAACTGGAGACTGGGAAGAGGGTCCAGAGAGGCCATGCTACTTGCAATCCAGTGACTCTTAATGGAGCTGGGAGCTGATGGGAGGAAGTCCCAAGGGATTTTTTTTCCTCTGACCCATAACTGCCCCCAACTTGTTTGCCAGCATCCCACCACCCAGTTTCCTCTTCTTCCTCCACATGCCTGTTCTCCACACCCGGTGAGGACTCAGGGCACACC